CTTGTCGTTCTCGGGCTTCAAACCGTGTCGGAGCCTGTCGCTTTTGCTTCTAGCTGGAGTGGCTTCCAGAGGGAACAGCTTCCTGGTAGTTATTTTAAGCAAGACTCATTGAGTGGAGAGCTGTTTGGATTGGCTTCGAGCTTGTTTCTGGCACATAATGGAGTATTTATTCTCTGTGGCCCAGGTCCGGGGGTTCTGATGACTCGAGTTTTACTATTTCTGTTTAGTGGGGACTTATTTTCTAGGTAAGACTTGTATTGCTATTTCTAGACGTCCCGTACAGCCCCCAGCTGTGCACTGGCTCTGGAAACAGCGTAGGTGTGGCACCTAGTACAGAGACTGCATAGCCCAAGTGCAACATGATTCTTTTTTAAAAGGAATTATTTATCTAATTTTACTTTATTATTCTTATTACTTTTTAAATGTCCTGTAGAGCACATATGCTCACCAGAGAAGGAGAAGGAGGGGAAGTGAGAAAGCAAGCCACCAGGTCCAGGACTCAAACCACGGCCAACCCTGAGGGAGTCCAGCGCCCACGTCACCTCCTGGCCCCACAGCCACGGTTCTTGTCCCCTTCCTGATTCTCTCTCCCTTTGGCACAAATAAGGGGCTGGGAGCTTTTGGATTTTTGTGTGATCTCCCACGTTTTCCAAGGTCACCACACTCAGTTTACTGAAGTTGAATGAAATAGAACGTTCGTCCAGCAGGTGGCACTGGAGGCTTCTGGAGGCTCCAGACTCCGTGGGCTCCAGGATCACACACCCTCCTCTGGGCGCCGCAGCCCCGGGAACCCACTTTTCTGCTTGTTCAAGGACAGAGTGGATGCCCAGGGTTCGTCCTGAAGTCCCAGCGCTGTCATGGGATCCTTTCAGGGACAATCGGTCGCGGCCATGAAGGACCCTGGTGGACACAGTCTCCCTAAGTGCTGCAACCCGAAGAAATCAGGATGTGTGGGCCGGGGTCCGCATGAACAGTCCTGGCGAGGGTGTGGGACGTGGGCTTCCCCCACGCTGGGTTAACAGAACCTGGGCTGGCTGAAGAAGAAACCCCTGGACCAAGTAAGCCAGACGGCTCCGGGAAGATTAGAGCCTTTGATAAATATCGTGGTTCTCATCAAAGCTGCCCACGGCTCCAGGCAAGAAAACACCGGTCAGTCCCACTCCTGAATATTCTGGCGGATAAATCTGGTTAGAACCCGGAAGTCTGTCTTTTCTTTTCTTTTCTTTTCTTTTTCTTTTCTTTTCTTTTAAGAGAGGGCACATGAGGTCACCAGAGAGACAGAGACAGAGAGACAGAAAGCGAGAAATAGCCCCCCAGGGGGAATGGCCATGCTGCAATCCCTTCTCCTCCATTCTCCTCTCGGGATCTTGGGCATGCATGCACACGCACACATGTGCATACACACACACACACACCTGGCATGAGTTTTAAGCCACCGGGCCTGGGACTTGAACCGAGGTCCACTATGTGGGAGTCCAGCGACGTAACCATTACTCTATCTGCTGGCCCCAGAGTCTGCGTTTTCTTAAGTTCTGTAGAGGACCAGGGTGTGCTCCTGGCATCCAGCACAGGGCTGCCCTTTCCCCCAGGTCAGGTCACATGTAGGACTATGGGGGCTGTCCATGTGAGCACACGCATTTCTGAATCCCTTTGCTCATCTGTAAAGTGGGATCCATTGTGTGTAGACCAGTCCCTCAATGCCAGAGCGCAGACTTCACTGTGATCCAATGCCCAGACCGCCCTCCATCCACACACCTTCCCTTACAAGCTCTGTGACTGGGACTGGGACTCCCATGTAGTCAACTGCGGTTCAAGTCCTGGACCTGGTAGCTTAACTCACGCCGGATGCATGTGCGTGTGTGCCCAAGATCCCGAGAGGAGAATGGAGAAGGGATTGCGGCGTGACCATCCCCCCAGGGGGTGATTTCGTGCTTTCTGTCTCTCTTTTTGGCAAGCGCACATGCCCTATATCAAAACCTCTCCCAAACAAGCTCTGTGGCTGTGCCCAGTGGAGAGACGTCACTGTTTCTAAAATCCTTGCCCTTCCTTCCTAATCCATGTTCTGAACAGCCTCACCCCGGTCTCTTCCCTGAGGTTCGTAAGTATTAGGAAATTGTGCTCTTTCACTTTATAGTCACGGAAGTAGTAAATGAGTCTTCAAGCAGTGCTCGTTCAGGTCACTAATTATTTCAGGATTTGGGAATCAGAGACTTCTCAAAGGAATAGTTAGATCTGTTCGCAGTAGGAAGGAAGTGCCATGTGGGCATTAGCGATTTCATTTACCCTTATTAAGGGAAGAGACTAGAAGAAGACCCCCCTGAAAAGGCACTGCACCTCTGACTGTCAGGGCAGTCTCCCTAGGCCATCCAGCCGGCCTCTGAATCAGATCACGAGGGGAGACTGTGGCTCTGACTCTCCTCCTGGCCTGCAAGAGGAAGGCAGGGGTCACCTTTCCCGGCGCCTCTGTCTCCCCTCCGTTTGGTCTGCCTCTCATGTCCGTCTAGGCCGTGAATGTCTGTCTGTCCCTTGGACTTTGCGTTCCCTGGGGTTAGAGACTTGGATTCAATTAAAGAAGCTTGACTACCTAAATGAGGAGCTAATGATGTGAGGTTAACACACGGGCAGGATTTTCCTCTCCTCCGGAGAAGGTGGATATTATGGAAGGAGGAGGAGGTCTTGCAACACCACAGCCTTCCCGTAGCCTGTAGGTCAGCCAAGTAGGTATTTAATTTTACCAATAATTACCCCTTCATCTTAAACAGTGCCCATGCTTAAGGGCCACTTCGAAAATATAAAGGAGAGGGTGGACTGCCCTTGGAAGAAGCATGATTACTGAATCGTTTTCTTCCCAGACAGGTCGGACTCTGGCGGTGCACAAGCCCACCTGGGCGGAGGAGTAGCCTGGTAACAAGAGCCGGCGCTGGGCAAAGGTCGACACTTGTGCGGTTGTGCAGTTCCGCAGCTTGTGCGGTTGTGCAGTTCCGCAGCTGGCTTGGGGCCTGTCGCATGCCCACGCTGGGAGAGAATGCAGGTGTTCCTGTCAGAGAAGTCACAGTGGAAGGCCAGGGCAAGGACCTGCCCCAAGGTGAGCGTGAAGTTTCCACAGACCACAAACAGAGTGGTTTCCATGGTAACGTGGACACTGCCTACTCCTGAGGTCCCCAGTGCCAGCGCCTGTCAGAACCCCCCAGGGCTCTTTATAAAATCCAGGGGGGCTGCGTGTGTAGCAGGTGCTCACAGGTGATGGACGCACTGGCTGGTCTGGGAACTCCCTGCCAGGCTGTCGGCCCCGCAAGTACAAGGTGTACCGCTGCTTGGTGCTTCGCTGGGTCTCAGACACAGCTGAGTCCTCTTAAGCTGGTTTTTGTTTTTTTTTTAAATTTTTGCCTTTTTAATCATATTATTTAGCAACATTATACAAAATGAACCACAGTCTATTTTCAAACACAAAAATGGAACAGCCAACATAAGAAAATTCAGTTCACTGATGCCACTTCTCACTTGTCCCCGTGGCCCCTTCATTTCCCAGCAGAGAAGATTACACCTACAGGTCATTCGGTCATTATTGTACTTAGGAGTCTATGTGCCGAAAAGAACAAACAGAAGGAGTGGCTTCACTAGACATGGAACAAGGAAGTGAAATGTTCACCAAGTCACACCCGCCACCTT